GCAGTCCAGAGCTCTATGGTTCTGGCGCAGTCCAGAGCTCTATGGTTGTGGCGCAGTCCAGTTCTCTATGGTTCTGGCGCTGTCCAGTTACCATTTTGTCAAAATAAATACATATGTTGAAATGTTTCTGAGTTTCAAAAACCAGAAGTCGTGGCACCAATCTGCTGAATTTACTAAACGTTTTGATGCACGAACAGCTAAAACATCTGTCTGTTGTCGTCAGAGCGCATTGAACAAAAATCCAGACAAACAGCAGAACTGAACCCAGAACCTTTCACATTAAAGTCCTCTGAGGGCCTCACGTCACTTACAAACAACATTTACTAACTAATAAAACAGTAACGTCGGTATATTAATCGTATATTAACTGTTGTGCAGCCATTTGTTTCTGTTTGTTTTATTGTTTGAACCGTTGCAGCCTGTCTGGACCTGGAGAAAACCCACGCAGCATGGACAGAACATGCAAACTCCACCCAGAAAGACCCCGGGCCGGGATTTGAACCAGGGCAACCTGCTCACTGAGAGGCAGCAGCTCTACCAACTGATCCACCAGGCTTGAACAGAACCACTTGAAAATATTTGGGATTAGAGTTCCTCTACAGCTGTAGTCCACCATGGTCCAAACTGTGTTCAGACTAGGCCTTAACCCATCAGTCCTGTCAGAACCAAACAGGGATCCACTGATCTGCTCGGACCATCAGACCTTGAAGATCAAGATTTTTGTTTGTTTTAGTTGAATTCAATTTCTCCTCAGGAGATCATCATCACCAAACAATTCTTGCTCATGGTCCTCCAACGCTGAGCTTCAGGTAGTCCCATCGAGCCCCGAGGACTCATTTACAACAGAGACCTGATTAAATAAAAAATGATGACAACAGTGGACAACAGCAACAACAATAAACTGTTATAAAAAGCAGATTTCAAAAAGAAAAAATTTTGGGATTTATTTGAATTTATTTCTCAGGGAAAATAATTCTATATATAAAAAAGTTAATACTTTGAATACATTTTGAATAATTTGATTTACTTATAAAATCTTTCTTGGAGTTTGCATGTTCTCTCCGTGCATGCGTGGGTTTTCTCCGGGTACTCCGGTTTCCTCCCACAGACCAAAAACATGCATGTTAGGCTGACTGGTAACTCTAAACTGGCTCTAGGTGTGAGTGAGAGAGTGAATGGTTGTTTGTCTCGTTTGTCTCTATGTGTCCCTGTGATGGACTGGAGACCTGTCCAGGGTGTCCCCCCCTCTCGCACAGTGATTGCTGGACATGGGCACCAGTGACCCCCGTGACCCAAAATGGAATAAGCGGGTAAAGAAAATGGATGGATGGATAAAATCTTTCTGATTTGTTTTTAGCTAAGGTTTATTTCTTTTGACTTGTTTAGCACATTTTAGTTTGTAGCTGATTCTAAATGAACTTTTTCCCCATGTCAGATGATTTATCAATCAATCAACCTTTATTTATACAGGTAAATCCCATTTAGTTTGTAGGTGCAGCTTTGCTAACTGACGTTTGTAGCTTTGGTAAATGGAAGTTGACTTCATAGCTGCTGTTTGGCTCATTTTAGCTTCTGTTCAGCTTGTTTGAACTTTATCAATTCATTCAGTTCTTTCTCCTACTTCAGCGAGGTCATTCAGCATTAAAATGGGGAGTGGTGGCGCAGAGGTTAGAGAAGACGGGCCTGTGATCTGAAAGTCGCAGGGTCAACTCCCGGTAGCGTCAACATCAAAATGTGGGTGGAAAAGGTGAAACACCCACACCTGCCTCCACCCTTATTTACCCCACTCTGGGCCCCTGAGCAAGGCACTTAACCCCCACCATCTGCTCTGAAACAGGTCTCTTGAAAATGAGTTCTCGTGACTCACTGAGACGACCTGGATAAATAAAAGGTGAATAAAAAATTAAAACTGTTTCTTTTAGCCTCTTCTTATTTGCATCTTTTACACACTTTTTAAATTCTTACAGAAGATTAAAATGACTCCAGTTTTCACGTTCTTCACCTCGACATTATTCGTTAAGTGAATCGTAACGCTCGTTCGAGTCACCGGGATGGTCTTCCTGTACACTGACTTTTATTTTGAAAAACTGGCCCGAGGCCTCACAGCTTTAAGGCCTCAGATGTTCGGCTGTGAGACGTTCAGGTTTCACTGATCATGAACTATTTTTAGCTGCTCCAAGACGTTTCACGATGACACCTCCTTCACACAGCTCACACTTATTACTCACAGCCGAACTTCAGCTGTTCTTTGAATCACAGAACTTCCTCGTTTATTTACATGTTCAGCTCAAACTGTTCCCTGAGTGACTAAAGAGATAAACTGTAAATATATTAACATATAATAATATGTAATTACTATAATAAAAAAATTTAACTTAATATTCAGCTGCAGGACGATTAAACTGCTCATTCCATCAAAAACAGTAAATTTGAGTCAAAGCACAGATTGAATGTGTTCAGTTCAAAGACATTTAATCCTGAAGTACTTCCTGTTTATTAGAAGACAAAGTGGACAAAAGACCT